ACTATTGTTTTAGTAATTCAAAAAATTTCTCATCCCTTTGACAACATGCCGAAGATAACTCAATATTGTCTTGAAAAATATAGTCTACTTTTCTAAGAAGCATACAGTTTAAGAAAGCTCTAAGGAGCTTTCATTCAGAGACCACCTCTGGTCTCCATTTCCCAGACATCTCTCTATTCATCCCCTGACAAATGGAATCAAATGTATCATGCCTTGCAAGAATCACTGAAACTAATTGACTTTTAGGAAAAGTACCCTGATAGCAACTATTCATTCTCCAGGCTGGGTATGTTCAAACTATATATCATTGTTTTTGTTCTGCTTATAGAGCATGCTTTGATGTCTTACTTCTTTTATGTGCTTTCAGCAGGCATTGAAGAGATTGAGTTAGCCCAGAAGGAACCATTTATTTAAGAGATATTGTTTGGGTATAAAAACAAAAACAAAAACAAAACAAACAAACAAACAAACAAAAAAGTGCATCTGAGAAACCTATACAGTGTGTGTCATTTTCTCACATTTTAGCTGAATTGCACATTAGAAGTGAGTTAAATTTTGTGGCAATCTCTGAACCATATTTGTACAAGACTAGCAATTTTCTGATGAAATTTTCCAAAGATTTATATAACCAGAAACTAGAAACTGACCCTGGAGGTTGAATGATAAGATTGGCACATCTACCAAAGACATTGGGATGAAGAGATCATTTGAGGCAGATGTGGAAGTAATGCTCATTGTCTTCAAAATGAAAACACCCAATTTCTCTAATTTTGAACAGCATGTAAAACTACCTACCTTTTGTTTAAAAACAAAACAAAACCTAACTTTCAAAACTTACTAGTTCTAAGAGGTTCTGACAGTGGTAAAACATATTTTTTTCTTTTGAATGTGAGGACACACTCCTTATACCCCATTCACTGTCCCCTTCTGACATAAGTCTGTGAAGTTTTCCTTAGAAAAACTGAAAAAAGTCATCAAATAGATATATCCCCCATGTATTTGTATAGTTCCAAAGTCTTACTGTACTGTTATGCTGCAGGTTCTAAATGCTCTTGATTGCAGCTGGAGAAAATCAGTTTACCTGTAATCCATTGCTGAACCTAAATCAAAAGGCTATGAAGGGAGCAGCACTCACCTTTAATCCCAGGACTCTGGAGAGAGTTCAAGGTGAGCCTGATCTACACAGTGAGTTCCATTACAACCAGAGCTGCACAGTGAGACATTGTTTAAAAAAAATCTAGCTAAGACTGAAAATAGACACCACCAATCTTATATTAAAAAAGAAAATTTGCAGCTCATCTGAAAGTTCTTTTTAAAATTAACTGAAAAGAAGCATACAGTTTAAGAAAAATTAAAATGGCTATCAACACCACTAATGACTATGGTAAATTATCTAAATGATATAAAATCATCAATGTAATTTAGAGAACTAGTCTCTCACATTTGAGAGCTAATGAATATTAATATTAATGTTTGTTAGTGATGATTTAATTTCTTTTATTCATTTTACATACCAATCACAGTTACCCTCCACCCCTTCTCCCACTCCCCCTCATCTTCCCTCAACCAACCCCACCCACTCCTCAGAAAGATAAAGGACACCCATGAAGAGTCAACAAAGCCTGGCACATTCAGTTGAGGCAGGATCTCTACAGTTGGTATTCAGAGGGATGAAAGGATGAATTAGCTTTCACACCTTTTCATAGCTGTTTCATCAGCCAAAGTCAGCATGAAGCTCTTCCTATGTGGCTTCTGGATAGGGATAGAAGAGGTATTGAGCATCATTTAATTTGGGGGTTAAAACAATCATGGACCTGTCATCCTTGGCTGTGGGCAGGTGCTCAGGGAGCCAACGTCTGAGGTCTTACATATGGGCAACATCTTTTTATCAAGAAAATATTAGTGAAATTGGTTGTCTAAATAACAGTTAGATCTAATAATGTCTGTGGGGTGTGATCCCTTGAGTTGTTATCATTTCTCAGTCTTCGGTTAAACTTTCCTCCTCAGTGCTGAAGACTATGCAGGGCAACAAAATTAATCTTTCTTTCTGTGCTGTCAAGGCCAGTTGAGCAACTAGTCCTCAAGGGTTACTTGGGCTTGAAAGGAATCTCAGACTCTTCGAGCCTTTTTTTTTTTTAAACCAGTTGTTCATAAACGTGAGGATAAGTTAAAGGTTTTGCTTTATGTACTGTTGCTTCCTTTGAATCCTTGAGGAAATCTTTCCCACATTAATTCTCCTTTTGTAGATCAATAATGTTTCATAGTCATTGAGTGGGATCTCCATGGCCTCCATTAAACAAGACAACAAGTGATCAATGGCCTTTGTTCCCAGGGACCTCAGTGACCTTGTATGCAAAGGGGAGAAATATTCTCCCATTAGTTCCTCTAACCACATTAAAATAGCACCCAAGAATGATTATTAAACACTCAGAAGATCAGTTTTATACCAGTTTGGTACTTTTAACTACTGTATAATATTTCAATAGCTAGACAGAACTCAATGAACTTTGACATACATTTTAGCCAGTCCTTGAAATAGTTGATATCTGACCTTGTCAACTTTAATACAATATATGATCTCTAAATCTCATTCTTTATACACCTTAAACAACTTACTCAGACCTTCATAACTTGTAAAACCTTTCCAGTCTTCTTTATTCTGGAGCTATCCAGTCATCATCATCTTCATGCATCTACGTCCTTCTTTACTAAGTCATTTCCACATTTATATTCTTCTAACATGTTCTTTTATGTACTACTTCCTTTTTCTAATACCATGACACATAGGAACACTAACAAATGTGTTTATGATCTGTTGTGAGAATCTTCTCCCTGGTGGAGGGAGAGGAAGGAATGTCTATTCCATCTTCGTAAGTCTCAATGACATTGAAAAGTGCCATTTCACCAAGTCTACCCTAGGGAACCAATGAGTTTATTGAGCTTACTTGCTGAACATGGTTGAAAAGATACTTACAAGGGTTTTGATACTGTGGTGGTTTGAATCAAAATGCCCCCACCCCAAGTCCCACAGGAAGTGGCACTAAAGGAGGTGGAGCCTTGTTGGAGTAGGTGTGGCCTTGTTGGAAGAAGTGTGTCACAGTTGCTTTCTGCTGCCGGGTGAAATCTCAGCGTTTTTTCCAGCACCATGTATGCCTTCAGGTCACCATGCTTCCCGCCATGATGATAATGGACTAAACCCTCTGCAACTGTAAGTCAACCCCAATGAAGTGTTGGTGTAGTCATGGTGTCTCTTCACAGCAATAGAAACTCTAAGATACCCCAAAGCAGCCACACAGGAATGTCTCCACCTAGTATGTACAATGGCTCTCCCATAGCTGCACTTCCACTGCCCATATACTCTCCATTACACTACATTTCTCAGTGGACATAGGAAGTAAGCCTGATAGTACTCAAGTTAAATTCCCACGTTAAAAGATGACTTTCTCATAGGTGCAGATTCAGAATCTACCCCATCCAAAGTCCTTCCCAGGCTATGTATTCTAACTCCTCCCCTAAGCCACAAGGGCATGTGTCATTAGGGCTGAATTGCATACAGTTGCCTGGGAAAGAGGCTGTATACTTAGAAAGAGGAGATATCTCCTTGTATTATGGAATGTTAACAGTCAGCAAACTTGGTGGTGGACAGCCTTTGTAAGCAGACACAGATGATCATAGGAAGGCACCAATTGTTTGTCTTAAGATAATGCTGAGCAACAATTAAATAAAAGAAAGCTGAATAAAAACTGTGTATAAGATAATGTCATAATTTAATATTTCCTAGCTACAATCTGTTAAACTAAACCTTAGAGAAAACACAAGATGGTCTTCATATAATAAATACATGGCATCATTACTCTAACCATGCTTTTGGATTTTAATGTGAGTATGTAGTTAATACCAAGAAACAGCAAATATGTAACAAAATATCATGAAATTGATGTCTACAGCATCCAGTACAACACAACTAAGAAATCCCTCTTAAAACTATGATTCCCAGCTTACTATAGTGAGATCTTTACACAGAGGGTCTCTCTATCCTCTCCATGGATGAGCATCCCCATTAGCTGTTTTTACTACAGGAATGTGGTCAATAACAGTAAACATAAAAGGTGAATAAACACTTACATCCTAGCATCCTAATCTCTAACAGACTTGATTAATATACTACTAATCTTTGGGGAATTTTAGAGGCAGCCCTCCCTTAGCTGAATTCTACTTTGTGTGAATTACTATCTCCTAAGCATTGGTAAATCCTTTATAGCACCAAAACTGCTCTTCTACATCACAGATTATAGTGGAGTGCTACCCAGCACATGAGATACCATTTATAACCTCCACAAATTAACTCCAAATGGATCTTACACGTAAATGTCAAATGCAAAGTGCAGAACTTCTAGAAGATACTTGAAACTAGGCTTCTCTGAGTTTGGCAACCTGCCTAGGCTTTGGGAGGTTTCTCAAAGGACCTGACCAAAAAAAAAAAAAAAAAAAAACAGCAAAAACAGAGCTCCATCTCTAATACCCAGAATATGCTTGGGAGAGTTTGTAATGGTCTGGGCTGGGGCCTTTTGGAAGATGTTGCTTCAGATCTTGAGAACCCAACACTTTCCACACAAGGGGCTTTGGTTATCAGTCCTAATGCCACTGTGGGTTTTGTTTATAATATTCTTGAGTTACCCCATGTTCCTCTTATGCAACATTGGCTGATTAGCCTCCTTCTGAATTTGTATACTTCCTTTAAAACTGAACCCATTGGTTTACATTAACAAGAGACTTGCAGTTGAATTTGGCACAAATCTCCAGCCAATGTGGGGGATAGGTTTGTCCTTAGATGGGAAGCCAGGGTTGGGAACCACTGTGCGGAGTTCCTTCGGCTCACCTGGTTCTGTCACTCAGGCCTCAGTAGCCAATCAGAGCCTCCAGAGAACCGGCCCGTCAGATGGGAGGGTTCTTCCGGGAGCCAGGCTTCTGGTTTAGCTCTTCTGAGGAAGTCGGAAATCGTTGCGTGTACTGTGCCTTGGGTTCTGAGGAGAGCACGGGTCAGCTCAGAAGCCGCACCATGGTGAGCGAGACGTTGCTTTCCACAGACAGGGAGGAGCGGTGGGCCAAGGTGAGTGAGGGACTGCTGCCCCCATGTGGGGAGGAGTGGCCAGCCATGGTGAGTGAGGGCTGCTGGGGAGGAGTGGCTGGTCTTGGTGAGTGAGGGGCCGCTATCCCGAAGATCAGGTGGAGCCGCCGCCTAAGGCTTGAAAGCCTGCATGGTGCGTCCTCCCCTGGCTAGGTGGGAGCCAGTGGCCAGACACAGAGTTCGCGTGTTCTGGCCTGGTCCTGCCTGGTCCAGCATGGTCCTGTGTGATCCCTTCTACTCCCTGGGCCAGGATGGCAGCCTCTGAACAACTTCACTCCCTGGACTGTGTCTGCGCAGAGCATTGGGAGCAGAACTGTGCTTAGAAATATCTTTGTTGAGATCACTGTGAAATGCTAGTGCTTGTAGTGCTTATATTGTCACATGTGGAGAGACATTACAAAAATTGCCAAACTTGGAGAGTGCTGGTCTCTCTAGTATCTTCCAGAAGTTCTGCACTTTTAACACTTAACATTTAGGTTTAAGATCCATCTGGGGTTAATTTTGTGGAGCTTGTAAATGGTATCTCCAGTGTAGAATAGGTCCCACTGCTAAACTGTAATGTAGAAGAGTAGACTTGATGGCGTAAAGGATTTACCAATTCTTAGGAGACTTGAAGTCACACAACGTAGAATTTAAGAAGGAGAGGGCTGCATCCCAAATACCCCAAAAATAAAATAAGTAATATGCTAACCATGCCTGTTAGAGATTAGTATGATAAGATGTAAATGTTTTTTCACCAGGATTAATCAGCCATTAAGCTATATTCCCATAACAAATGAGACAACCCTGATTTACAACCCCCCAAAAGGCCCACCTCCCCATCAAAGGCCTCTAACATGCTGCTCAAGGGGCAATTACAGGGTTACAACCAACATTAAGTCTTGGTCTGCCATGAAGGTATAGTAATTCTAGAACAGCTGCATCTCCAGCCATTTTCAAAAGTGGTTTTGCGTCAAGGTCTCTGATGTTGATTGAAGTGATTTGAACACTGTCTGGAGCCCCACAGGGCATTGCACTTTCTGCCCTTCTGACTAGCCATCCTAAATTCTTGGATTACAGGTCTGTAGCACTACAGAGTTTTAAAATTACCAGTTTGAGTCACATAGTGGGCTGTACTTTGAGGTAACACAGGAAAACGATTTGTTTGTTTGTTTTTTTTGTTTTTCGAGACAGGGTTTCTCTGTGTAGCTTTGCGCCGTACCTGGATCTCGCTCTGTAGACCAGGCTGGCCTCGAACTCACAAAGATCCGCCTGCCTCTGCCTCCCGAGTGCTGGGATTAAAGGCGTGCGCCACCACCGCCCGGCAGGAAAATGATTTGTGTGTGGAGCATGGCTTCTCCTTTCAGACCAGAAGAGGAGGACAGTGTACTGGGTACACTGCAGGGGGAAACAGAGTAGATAACAGCTAGTTCATAGACTGAAGTTTAAGGCAGAGAGTTGCAGGGGTCTGCATTACAAAGAAGGACTTGATGGAGCACTGTGAGTGACTTTCTTTGTAATTTCCTATCAGGCATTAATTCCTGTGATGATATATTGTGTACCCTAATAAACTTGCCCGAGGATCAGAGGACAAAGCCAGCCACTAGATTAGACATAGAGGTCAGGCAATGGTAGCACACACCCTTAATCCTATCACTCACGAGGCAGAGATCTGTCTGGATCTTTGTGAGTTCAAGGCCACACTAGGCTACATGAGCTTGATCCAGTATAGGAGAGAAACAGAGCCAAGCAGTGGTAGCGCACACCTTTAATCTCAACACTTGAGATCTCATGCCTTTGCTTGGGAAGCACACATGCCTTTAATCCCAGGAAGTAAAATGGCAGGGTGGAGAAAGGTATATAAGGTAGTTCAGCTAAGACTCTTCCGGGTGAGGACTCAGGATTTCAGTCAGAGGTTTTGTGGAGTTGGTGAGGTAATAGGTAGTGGCTGTGGCTTGCTCTGCTTCTTTGATCTTTCAGCACTCTCCCCAATATCTGTTTTTTATTGTAAGACCTTTTAAGATTTGAACAACAAATTCCTTCCATGTGAATGAAAACAGACAGAATTGGTGAGTATACAGTATAGGGAGGATAGCTTGAACTATTAAGTATTCAGTTTCCAATTAGCAAACTCTTCTATGCAGATATGTGCAATCTGAGTTGACAAAGCTAAGTCAGCTGAGAGGTTTGAGGCGAAGGCTTACAGTGCTCAGTGGCTAACATTTTACATGGGACAAAGTCATACAGTCTCTTATTAATGGCATTCTCTCTACCAGGGAAGTGCCTACTCTGTTTCAAAGTCAGTATACCTAAGTGTTCTTCCAATTATTTCTATCATTTTAAAAAGTCAATTATTGGTATCATTGTTTAAATTTCACTTTCTTTAAATGCATTACTGTCCTAGTCTCTATTTATCAATGTTTCGGGTTTAAGAATTTTATTCCATTTTTTTCTTAAGTGCTATTTGCTTATTTGTTTATTTATATCAGTTTAGAGCAGTGGTTCTCAACTTGGGGGTCACAGCTCCCTTTGGGGGATCAAATGACCCTATCACAGGACTAGCTTAAGACCTCGGGAAAACACAGATATTTCTATTACAATTCATAACAGCAAAATTATAGTTGTGAAGTAGCATTGAAAAATAATTTTATGATTGGGGGGAGTCACCACATCATGAGGAACTGTATTAAAGAGTCACAGCATTAGGAAGGGTGAGAACCACTGGTTTAGATCAATGTTTCCTGTAGCTTATGCTTGCCTCACATTATTTAATTGAGAATTGCTTTGAACACCTAATCCTCCCTCTGCTGCCCAGTACTGGAAAGACAGTCCTGCAACTCCTTCCAGGCTGGGCCTTGACTGGTCTATGGGAAGGAAAAATAGAACAGTGAATGAGTATCCTCCAACTTCTCTAGATTTTATTGAGAATTTATAAATGAAGTGGGACCTGTGTAACTGACCAACTGTAAAACAGGTGTAGTCACAGCACAGAAAGGGATAGGCAAAAAGGAGGGTGGAAGCTTTTGTGCTTTGACAGTAGTTGACATTATCAATGAGTAGTGAGGGAATCAATTTTAGATGTTCCATAAATATCCTAACTGGCCATTGCTTGGGTCCACAGACCAGGTAATCAAGAATCTAGATAAAAAACTGAACTTGCCGGGCGGTGGTGGCTCACGCCTTTAATACCAGCACTCGGGAGGCAGAGCCAGGTGGATCTCTGTGAGTTCGAGGCCAGCCTGGGCTACCAAGTGAGTTCCAGGAAAGGCGCAAAGCTACACAGAGAAACCCTGTCTCGAAAAAACAAACAAACAAACAAAAAAACTGAACTTAACCATGAAACCAAATTACTGTAGTTACACCAGTTCAGCCTAAATAGAAGAAGTGGATAAAATGTCACCCTGCCTAATATGACTGTGTTTTCCAGGTTTAAGATGTACAACCTGAGAGAATGGCATGGGCAGTACTTGGTATGTTCTAAGACAAATTCCTAGTCTCTGGAGGACATGGCCATAAAGCCTGTTTCAACTTTTTAACATAATTTTTGGGAATTATAATTTTATCATTTCCATATTCTCTCCTGCCTCCAAGCCCTCCTATAGACCCTTCATTGTGTTCTAATCCATAGCCTCTGTTTGTTTAACAACAACAGTTACTGTTTGAATGGGGCCTGAGTTTGGTTGTAGGACCTCCCAGCTATGAGACAAAGGATTGGTTTCACTATACACTGAGTGTATAATGGAATGTGCACACATAGGATCCTGTGCCTTGGAAGAGGAACAAGAAGTGCTCTGGGAGATTGGAGGATTTTACTAAACTACAAATTTCCCAGATTAGGGCCCTGTCTGACCATAGTGTGGAAGGGTAGAGCTGGAAGGACTTGTGTGGTTTGAGTCATATTTGATCTCTGCTAACCCAGTAGGGAAACTGCTAATGTCCTGAAGCCCAGCTGGGTGGTCCAAGATAACGAGGGACTTTGGGGAAGGCTTAGCAATCAGGAGCACCAGGGAGGTAGCTTACAGGCTCTTTCCAGGAGTTTCCACTTGTTCTGCTGTAGGGAGCTGAAAAGGAAAACCACAAGCCATGCCATGGTGAGTGTGGGGGCCACTGTCCCCAGACCAAGAAGAGCAAGTTGGCTGAGCTGTCAGAACTGCTTGGACTGGGATGGACCATGAGCCAGACTGAGGTTCTCTTGGTCCCTGTGGTGACCTGGTCAGTGGCCCTCAACCTCTGAGCTTTGTTGAGTGTAGATTCCCTGGGGATGAGGAGGCTCTGCCATCCTGACATGGGAGACTATGAACTTGTAATATCACTGTCCAGAGTGCACATACACTCATTGCTTTTGTTGTGCAGTGGGAAGAAAGATTGGAAAACTGAAGGTCTGGTTTCTAGAAGTTCTAAATGTTACATTCCACTTTTTGGTTTGTCTTTCAAATGTTACAGATAGTTTAGAAACTGGTAGAGAGGGGGTGATAGGCATCATCCTTCAGCAATACATGATTAGAATGTTTTCTACTTTCTGCTACTGCCAGCTACCATGGTGGGATTCAATGAAATTGAGTTCCAGGGCACAAAAGGAGTTTCTGAGCTGTAGAGGTATCTCAGGTTTGTATGATATTGGGCAGGTGAATAGGGCAGATGCCATGCATGTCTTGTGACATAATCTATGTGACAGAAAGCAGACATTAAATTATTCTTCAGCATTGTTTTGTGATTGGGCATCATTGGTGCTGGGTTTACCTGAAACCATAAGGCGACATGAGGGACTGTAGAGCCACAGTAGGCTCTGAAAAAGATCACCTCCGTTTGCAGAGAGGGCTCTAGAGCATGTGGCCTTTCTGGAAGAAATATCAATAGCTGGAGGGTCAGCGAGTTAACAGTTTAAGGGTCACTTTGAGTTAATTTTGTTGGAGTTGTGAGATCTGTGTTTATTTAATTTCTGTACACATTGAATCCTAGGTAACACTGGTCAAGATCACACTTTTCCTGACTGAATTTCCTTT